GGACTGAGCAGCTTACTCAGCAACGCACAGTACAGATGGTAAAACCCAGAGCGATGTATCCTGCACAGAGATGAATCTACTCAGGGGCTCACTGTCTGACACAATTTCCTCCTACATCTCTCCAGCCCCTGCTTTGAGCATTCGGGGCAGACACAGGATGCTGGTGGGTGTGAGAAAGGGCTTCACGGATGACTGGCCCTGTCCTGATGGGTTTGTGTGTGTCACCCTTTAGCATTAACTCCAGGCTTAGGGCAGGTTCTTTTTTGGCTGGGTTTTTCCGTGTTTACTGTAGTTACAGGACAACATTAACAAAGAGAGAGTTACACAGCGATTTTAAAGAGGCACAGCCTATTGCTAAGGCTGCGCTTTCCACTACCAGACCTCCATCACATAATCAGCCACACTCCTTCTGAAACTGCCCATGCTGTTGGGAAGCACCATATGGTGATCTGCAGGCCCTCTGGAAACAGGGATATGCAGCCACCATCCCATAGTACATAGTACACATATGCAGATGGAGGATACGGACTTCAGTGTGCACAGACAAGTTGAATTCTGTTAGGTCATCATAGAATCACAGAATCATAGAATAGCTAGGGTTGGAAAGGACCTTAAGATCTTCAAGTTCCAACCCCCTGCCATGGGCAGGGACACCTCACACTAAACCATCTCACCCAAGGCCTCGTCCAACCTGGTCTTGAACACTGCACTGGAGCCTGCAGAACTATCACAGCCCCTTGCCTTGTTGTCACCACCAAGGTTCCGCAGCTTTGAGCCATGAAGGCTCTCCTCCCAAGGACAGGCCACTAGATGGGGGTGACACTCTACACCTTGGCCATAACTTTCTCTATTACCTGCTGACTCAGAGAAGACAAATTTGGAACACTGCAGCTGAGAGGTGAGGAGGAGAATCTCTGCATCCTCCACACCTACTGTGCATCCCAACACCCATCCCAGTGCTGTGCGGGTCTTTCTCCCACAAGCCCTCTTCCACCCAGTCCAGGCTATCCCCTCTTCCCATCCCTGTCCCCTTCCTTTGCACACCCTTTTGGACCCTGACCAAACTGCTCCCTACTCTTCTCCCTGCATAGACCTGGAGGTCTACAAAGCAAAAGCAACGGGCAACAACAGGCCTGGGGCTGTGTCCTGACAGAGCACCATCTATCTTATCCATAACATCTTCCAGGGAAGGAGGTTTCCTAACCTCCCTAGGTGGTCTTGCGACAGTTTGATGATGATAACAGGATGTTTTCTCAACATCATCCTGGCAAATTAGCAAATCAGTAAATTAAGCTGCCATGGAAATCTGGGACTTTAATAACCACTATTACATGTTGGCAGCACGCTCGATTGCACAATAGTTTTCTTTTTGTTGCACTGAATAAATTTAATTCTTTCAGCCTCTTCTCAGGTTTCTTCATCTTCTTGGTTTTCCTTCTGGACACTTTCCAGTATGTCTGTGTCCTCCCTGGAGCAGGGCACCCAACCCCTGGTTTGATGACACTGATGATGCCTCCGCAGTGCCACACACGAGTAAATCACCTCCTGCACCTTATGGAGGACACTCCTTCAATATAAATCAAAACAAGATTTGCCTCTTTTGCAACAGCCTCTTGCTGCTGATTCATTTGTGGTCCACTAAAAAAACCCTCAGTCTTTTTCTACTCATCCCTCTCCAGCTTAAACCTGACTTAATAAATGTGCAGTCTGAGTTCTTTTTGCAAATGTAACACTCTGTGGTGGCTTTTATCTCTTATCTGGATGCACTCTCCAATTTCATAAGGTCACTCTGAACCCTGACCCTCTTCTCCCAAGTGCCTGCAACCCCTCCCAACCTGATGTCATCTGAGAGTGTTATAAACATACTTCCATCTTCCAAATCATGCCTGAAAATACTGCAAGTCTTCCCCCAGAAAGTGACCTTGCTGATACATCACACGTTTCTGCACTACTTGGGTCAGTGGTATTTAGAAATACCACTTTAAGCTGGTAGGCTGCAACTTCTGGAAATACATTAATTAAAAACTAATTCATGTGATAAAGGTAGGATGCATTCAATTTAATAGGAACTAACTAATGAGATTTATAAATACAACAAGGCTACTTCCCATTGAACTCTCTTTCTGGGGTCAGCCAGCTACAATTTGTCAGTCACAGGCCTAGACAACCGAAGCCTTCGGATGAACCTAGCAGCAGAACCTTATCCATCCTCCACATGAAGACAAGGATTCAGCAAATAATGAATCATAACTGATTTCTGTGATCAACACAAGAAGAGAAGTATATCAGGGTACAGCTCATTTCTCACTGTCACTTTGCTTTCATAATGCTGGAGCGCCATTTCTAAATGATTTTAACATCACACTATGCAGAAGCCAAACCACATTTCTCATCTGAGTTAAGAATCCAAAGTTACTCACTTAAAAAAATGCTCAAGTCTAATGTTAATGGATCACACCAAGTTATTGCCCCAGCTCTACCCAAGATCCCCAAAGCAGGAAGATAAGGACCAGAGGAGTTCCGGCAGGATGGGCACCCACCGCTCAACATGAAAGGAGCTTGGGAAATGCTGGTTCAAGAATATCTATAGCTGGACAAATACAACCTCTGAGAAAACATTCTGGACAGTTAAAGAGACACTTTCAAACCCCATTTTAATTGGAAAAAATAACATTTTCCTACTGTTTTCAGTGCTTATAACCCTACAGTCCATTATTTTCCTGACCATTTTTCAGCTGCAGCTTTTCTGACATGCACATGAGCCTCACTCAGGCAAAGTCTGAAACAGCTACAGAGGACGGCATGTGTGATCTAGCACACGTAACACTGACATCACGAATTCAGCTAATTCTCAGCCTTTAGAAGCCAACTCATGAGAAGTAATTTTCCCCCCTTCCAGTGCACTCAAACTTACTGTCACCCAGTCTGACTGCACTATATATATATACATATACACACACATACACACACACAAGAAGTTGCACTTTTTAAGCTCCAAACCATGGATTTTTTTAATAGTCCACAGCTTTCCACATTGTATATTTATAAATATGGACAACAGTGCAAACTCCTCACCCACAAACCAGGAGTTAATGCAGTTCCCCAGGTCCAAAGCTGCTGACAGCACCCCTGATACTGCCGAATCCCTGCAGCTCCTGACCAGGTAACAAGCAACATCAGTTCTATTTGCAACCAGTTAAGAAAACCACTTTTACTAACCACAAAATGGCTCTGTAATGAGAAGGCAATGAGCACCTGAAAGACTTCTGGCTACAGAAAGAGCCAGCACTAAATAAAGCAGAGACAGGACGTGGCAGGAGATGCACACTTCGCGATGGCTTTCAGCAGCCAGCTCCCTGCCCAACCTACACGTGTGAATTAAGCTCTATTTATAAGCCTTCCACTGATAGGTATTTTTTTTAAGTGACCTTAATATAGTGCAGTTGTTATTTTGTTTCTGTTGAACTTAGCAACAGGAAACCCTGTCAGTCCTGCAGCAAACTTTCCATTCCCCTGGCACTCCCATTCCTGCACCAGAAAAGCCAGATTTCTAAAGAGGTGGTTGACGGGATGGGAGGGAGAGGAAGAAGAGAAGAAGCACACACACACAGAATCAAAATGCCTGTAAAACATGCAAAATGGAAGCCAAATTCAATACGTTCCATTTTTGGTTTTCCCCTGTTTGAAATGAAAAGACAGTGCCCTAATTTGCATTTTCTAAAGATATCTTACTTTATGACTAGATACCTAAGTATTAGTCATGAAAATTATCTTTATTAAAGGGTTAGTAAAATCAAATCATCAGCATCTTTGCACTAATGCACTCCAGTAATGAAAGACCTACTTATCAGACAGCAGAAACTTTAGCTTGGAAAGTTACTTGCTCTAGTCACTGGCTAACTCACCGAGCAAACAGCTACAGAAATGAAGCCTTAACTTGTTAAAAACATAATAAACCTGATTTTATTACAAGCTTTGGCAAGACTCTTCTGCCGCCTAAAGAGCTTTACTGTGGGATGAGCAAAGTTTTTTGTGCTCCACCCTGCAATGTTAGCTCATCCCCACAGTATTCTCTTTTAACAGCTTCATAATGGTACGCTAACACACAAACACAGCTGCTCAGCAGCAACGTGCACTGACAACTTGGCATTTATAAAACACTTTCTTCTTTAGGAACAAGAAACTATATATAAACATCAGAGCAAATGCAAATCCAGCTTGGAAAGATAAGACAAAAAAAAAAACCCTGCTCTTGATAAAGCAGAGTATGTATTAGGGGTGCTTTAAAGCAAAATTATGTTCCTGTCAACCAGGATATTCACATTTTTATCCTAGACAAACATTAAACATGGCAAAGCACAGGTAATCAACTGATTTGTGACCCCTGGCATGACTTTCTTACGCTGTTTCACCAACATGAGGAATAGGGGGTGTCCGTGTACCCCACACATTAAATCCCTGGATGTCTTCCCATTATTAATTTTTCTTCCTGCAAAGGCACTCATGTTCTCAGCCAGTGACACCTTTAGACCTCAGAGTCTGTGCACACGCACACACAAACACTGACACCACAGCCACGGATGGGCAATGCATGGAAAGGGATGGACAAACTCACCAGAACTCTGAAGAGAGCAGCCGGGACTGGGGGGTGCTGCCAGTCTTCACACAGCATCTTTAACCCCAAGTGCATTACAGGGCATGGCTTTTGTCAAATATACAAACCTTGGTACAACCCTGCCTCAGGAGGAACCTCTTGGGTCAATCTTGCTGTCACCAACTGAGACAAATGGGGCTTAATCCAGTGGTTGAAAAACACGAGGTCTAAAAAAGCCCAGACTATTTTTAAAAGGCTAAAACAACACCAGGGTGATGGGCGCCGCTCAGCTTTGCAAATGCTACAGAAAGGAAAGAGGTTACGTGGCCTGCCACAGCGGTGGTGGCAGTTCTTTAAAGAGCACGGAAAAAGGCAAGGTGACACATAACACATCTGTGGCACTCACCGCTGCCTCACGGACTGCACGCTCCTCGTGATCCTTCAGAAAATCCACCTCGTCTTCAGTTTTCATTTCCAAGTTCCCTGTGAAAACAGAGGGTTTGCACAGGCAATTGAAACACAAACTCCTTTCAGCACCGCTGCTCTTCTTCTGCTTATTCAAACCAGTCTCAAAGAAAGGAAAGAGAAAACCCAGCCCCAAAACCCCTTCAACAAGTCCATTTGACTCCAACATCTGGTTTCATTCCCGACTTTGCTGCTTGTTTGCCATTAGTTTTAACAACTATCGTGTCTGGGACTGAAGGAAACTATGAAACAGCATCAAGCACAGGGTAAACCTCCTGAAAAGCTCTAGGTGAGGCTGAGCACATCCCCATGGATTTGCCCGTGTATTTTCTTGGCTCTCATTCGTCTAGTTAAAGGGCCAAATTTTTTGCTGTTTTTCTTCCTACCATAGCTCAAAGATAATGCAAGAAACCAGCCTTGCCTTCTCTTAAAGGGTATCTGAAGTGTTGGAAGGAAAAATACATCACAAGCTTCAAAAATTTACCTGCACTGCCTTGAGGACCACTATTAGGCCCCTGGACTAGGAAGTCCCAGCTCATTTTCTCCTTCCTGATGTTGTCACCACAACAGTGGTACAAACATCATATTCCAGCTGCTTTCTTTGCCCAAAGCTTTCCTTAGTCATCATCCCCCTGGGGTTCCCTTCTGTGTACCTTTTCCTGCATGAAGTCAACGTCCTAATGCTTTCAACCCTAAGCTAACAACTCTCACAACACACAGGATACCTCGAGAGGAGTAAAATGAGTTGACCAAAGCCACCCAGATGGAGAGTGGCTGTGTTAGGGTTAAGCCCTCTCTAATCCTGCTCCCTCTCTTGTTTCTACTGAAAACAAACACTGGACGGATGACAACACCTTCTTATGGGCAATGTATGCTTGTGGTGAGCTTACCCGTTCAGGGATTTAGCAAGAGAAGCCTCCCAGCTTCACAGGGAAATTGCTAAAACAACTGCCACCAACGGTTTGAAAGTGTAACCTTGATTTTGGGACCACCTGGCTTTGCAGTGTTCCATTGATGAACTAATCCAACACCATAAAGTCGAACTAGGTATGATTTTGTCTGAATTAGACGGGTTTGGGGGCAGACACACAGAAATCAGAGGTTATGCTACATATTTCTGAGCCCTGTTTATTGGCAAAGCAGTGACCATGGTCAAGAGGAGATCTGCTCAGGGTCACAGCAATGGTATGATGGTTTAGATCTTGGTGCAAAGACAGAACACACAAGGAGGAAACCTCTGATGCACTTAAGAGAGAAGCAAGTGGTGTATTGATGCACCAGGCTGGCTAAGAACTGGAGAGTGAAGACGTGTCCTCAGGATGAAATGCAAGGGGGTGATTTTTTTGCACTCTGCCACTTCTTCCTAAACTTCTATCTCAAACAAAAAGCACTATAATGCTATCACAGAGGTCTCTCTGGGCACAGAGAACCTTATTGCATGTGTGATATCATTAATGACAGGTTACCGGTTTATCCTGCTACTCTAACAGAGGAAGGAAGCTGGAGTAAGTGCTTTTCCATAGGGAAAATGCCACTGATGAGAATGAGGTGAAGACTGATTAAACTCAAAATGATATGTTATTATTCTATCTGGCAATGAACATTTTCTTTTAATGCTGAGATCTGCAAGAGACACACTAGGGATATTTCTCCCAGGAGGCCAGCTATGGAACACTGATTACAGTAACTCTTAGTTTAAGAGGCCAACCCCAACCATATAACCAAACATTGCTGGGGTCACTTTCTCCTAAGAAGCTGCATCTACTCCAAGGTGTTTTGTCAGCATAAACACACGCCATCTCTTCCCACCCAGCCTGCCTACTGTGGTATGATTTCATACCCTAACTGCCAGCTTTTTTAATGAGTAGCATTTATCTGCCTGACTTGCAAATAATGTGCTTGCAGAATCCCATTACTCAGCAGTTCTGAGTCTAAAGGTAAGAGCATGAGGAGCTGCCTTATGTAAGTAGGACCTTCCAGTTTCATTGCCTTCCTTCAGCGCTGTGACCAGCCACTAGACACTGGGCTGGATAAGGAAATTAGTCCTTTGAAGTCTCTGTTTTGGAGGTAGGCTGAAACTAAGTGAAGGCAATGAGAGAAACAGGTAAAAATTTGAAAGCAATTTGACAATATAAATAAGAAACTAAAAAACCCTCACTGATTTGGAGTAATGGCACCAGCAATCATCAAGCAGTTACTTCTCTGATAAATCAGAATGACAATAGAACCCTCTGACCACACATGTTCCTGAGGAACAGCCTTGTGACCTACCCTTCCTTTGGGAAGGCTTTATTGTAGTCTATTGAAAAAAGATGTGATTCATTCTGAGCACCGACGACTCCTGCATGGCTACAAAACACCCTGTAGAGACCCAGGCTGCAGGGAAAGCTCCCTGGCATCGACACAGCAAAGAACAACTTCTGCAAAGAATTGCAGGCTGCCACTGAACTAGTACATAGAATACACTACCCAAAGCTTTGACATCAACATGAAGAATGTACACAGCAGTAACAATAAGCAATAAATCTGTTCTCTGCCATATCAGAGTTCTAGATGCTGCCTTATAGAAGGTAAGTTTCAGAAATGTTTCAAATAGTGAGCTTGAATTGCTAGCAGTCACTTGTCTCTGCTTTAAGCCAGTATTTGATTTGGGCTTCCCTAACATTTTGCCTGAGAAGTTCTTAAAGGGAAGATATTCTAGCTGAAATCACCTTGCAAACAAACAATTCTTCCTTATGGAGAGGTCAGACTGTTATATTCTAAGATGTTTTACTTTAAATCAGCAACAGTATCACCTCCTTTCCCCCTGTTTTCCATACCCTAACACAGAATGATTCCTTATTATTACTTTCGTACTTGGGTTACTACCTTACTGGAATGTCTAGTCCCTTCTCCTTTTAAAACCTCACCCAGACAGCATCATGCCTCCAAGAATCCATCCAGAGATACAGACCTGGACTGTATGGACGAACCCAGCACCATGGGAGGCTCCCAGAAGGGGCCCTGTCAGGTACTGACTGACAGCCACTCCCGTCCCATTGAACTGCCAAACTGTCACAGCACTGAAATGCACTCTATCTGAAAACAGCCTTCTAATCCACCTTTAAATCCTCCTACTTATTTACTAATGACCTCCTGAATAATGTTTACCGGTGACCTCCCAACATATGAACTTCCTAAAATACCAAACTCAACGCAAAAAGGATTTGCTGGACCCACCCCTGTCCCCCCATACAATCTCTTCCCCTGCCCCCAGTTATTCTGCTATCACACATCAGAACAAATCCTCTGCCAGCATCCCATTCTGCGTTTAGACTGAAGAAACAGCTCTCAGCATGAAAGCAGTGGAATAGCTTTACAGCTTTACAACCTCATGATTTACATCAGACTTCATTTTAATCATTTAAACGTTGTTTGGTTGGTGCACGGGAAGCAAGAGGCACTGAATCATTTTCTCATAGCAAAGAAAAAAAATGGGAAGTGAAAAAGTTCAGCTGCTCCCATTTAACAGCTGCCTGAACAGGTGGAATACAGAGATCAGATTAGCCCCATGCTCTAGCACCAAATTCACCTCTGATTTAATCCCAGGCTGGAGCAACAAACCCATTCCTCTTTAATTTACCCCTTTTTGCAGTTACCTGGTGATGTTTTCTATTAGCTCCTGTTGCATGAGGCGTCTATGCTGCCCCTCAAATCCCACCACTCATCCACAGGGAACACCGGTCCCGCTTCCCAGCAGCGGGCAGAACTCATCATCCGAGCTCCAGCACTGCTTTGAACACAGCAGAAACCACCACCGGCTGCTCTGCCCGACAAAAAAAGCCTCCCAGCCCGGAAAAAGGCAGCGGGGGGAGGTAGGGCTCACTGGTTGAAATGACCTAATGCTGCCAATTGGGAAGTGCCTTTGTGCAGTTCAGAAGGACACTGGCAGCTGGCTCAAGCAGACAAGCAAAGGAAATACGACAGCGCACAGTTGTACCCTCTGACTCCACGTGAGCAAAAGTAAAGGGGAGAAGCAAAGGGATAAGCTAAGCAAATCAACTCTCATGCCCGGTGTGAAAGCTGTAACTTGAAGATACAGTGCTCCAAATAGCTCCCTCCCATTCATTCCTTCTCCAGGCAGGATTCACATGCTAGAAATGCTACACAAATTCACAGGAGATGATGTCCTGTCCCTACCTCCAGTGCCAGCCAAGCAACATGAACAGGAAGTTTTAACTTCACATTTCTTCGTTCTCAGAAGAAAAAACCCTAACACCTACACTTCCTCCTGCTCTTACTTCCCTTCTTTTGCCTCCGAAACACTAGAGGCACACCTACAAAGGGAAAACTAAAAAGTAGGAAGCCAACTGATTTCTCCTACCTGTAACAGGCTCAGCTCGTTGCACTGCCGGGCTGCTGCTCCTCTTCTTGGTCAAGGAACTTACATCCACTTCTCCATCAAGGCTGGCTCCCACATCCACTGCAGCCTGGGGCTCAAGCCCCACTTTCTCTGTGGCTGGCAGTTCAGGGGAACAAGGGGTCTCTGCTGCAAAAACCACTGCATCAAAACTTTTCACCATTTTAGGACCTTTATCCAGAGACGAGCCACCATCCGCCGCAACCAAACTCTTCACTCCCACATTTTCCAGTGACTCAACAGCACGTAAACGGCACGAACACGGTGAGAAGGGCGATGCAGGTACAGCTTGGCTTTGCTCTCCATTGGGCTCAGCTGAGACCTCCCCCTGAGCTGCTTCTGCAGCAGGACCAGCATCGGTCTCACTGACAGGACAAACAGTGTCAGTGCTGGAGTCGCTGTCACATGTGGGCTCCTCTGCAATGGGCTGAAGCGCTGCGCGAGGAAGCACGCTTTCCTTATCCTCCTGCTCTTCTGGATATGCTGCAACAGGAGGTACTGCCACCTGCCTTAACGCTTCCTTACCCTCACAGGCATCGCTCGTGGCTCCCATTCCTGACGCATCCTTTAACTCAGAGGTGCCGCTGTATGGGGAGGTTTGTTGCAGGGCTTGATCACGATCATGCTCCTGGTTCAGCCCTGTATCTGGACCAGGGCTGCTCTCCACACCCGGTGACTCACCTGCTGATGCAGGTCCGTGCATGATGCCTTCTCCTGCACCCACTGCCCCAGCCTTGCACACTTCTTCAGCACAGACTGCCCCTTTCAGCCCAGCATCCACATTGCTGCTGCTTGCCACAGGCCCCCCCTTACTGCAGACAGAGGGTTTCACAGCAAGAAATTCCTCCAACAAAACCTGCTCCCTGCCACTTGCACAGGCCTCCTGCTCAGGCTCAGCTTTGCCTCCTTCAGCCTGCTCTGAGAGGCTCTGCTCTGGAGACCCCTCATCCCCTGCATGGTCCCCAGGCCACCCAGCAACAGCAGCTACACTGCCATGCTCCCCACAGTGCTGCCAGGCCAGCTCTGCCGAGCCTGCCGCTGCCACCACTGCTTCCTGGTTTTGTTGAGGTTCTCCAACGTGAATTGCAGAGGGTGTGCCCGCTAAATTATCCTCTGCACAGTCAGTGCCCTTGGCACAGGGAGCTAATCCAGGGTCATTACCTTGCAGAGCTGCCTCCTGCCCGAGAGGTGCCACTGCAGCATCTCCCTCCTGACTCACAGAGGGTCCCTCTCCTCTGGGTGATTCCATCTCGCCACTCAGCCCCTCCTGCTCCAAAGTACTTCCTGCTATCTCAGTTTGTGCAGGCTCTTTTTCTGTCAGGCATGTGCTTGCATCCTCCGGAGGGAGCGATGTAGGCTCTTGTTTGCTCTCTTGAGCAGCATCCGGTTTGAAGCTGTTGCCCATTTCATCTTTAACAACAGTTTGATCAGCACAAGGGCAACCGCTAGCAACTTCCTGACCTCCGCCCGAAGAATCTGCGCTTCCTCCATCTCCACTGCTGCTGCTATCAGTTCCTACTGGCTCCTCCTCATGGGCTTCGCTGCCCTCCATTGCTTCAGCCACACGCTCAGTGACCTTATTGCTCTCCTGGCCACATGCAGGTTCTGCACTGCTTCCGTTAGATCCACCAATATCATCGTTTTCAGGTTTAGCATCAGGGCCATCAGTTTCTACACTGTCTTCCAGTGAGGGCAAGCTGGACTTCCTATCCATGCAACCTGCTTCCACCTGCTCTTCTTGCTCCCCACTCTTACCACTGCCATTGATTTCCAAACCAGGAGCAGGTTGTGATGCACAGGCAGGAACCTTCACCCCATTCACTGCTGGCAATGCTGCCTCAGTGCTCACAGTAACATTCCGACTTGCTGTGACATGGGCATCACCTTGGCTTTCCAAGAAGCCACTGTTTACTTGATCAGTGCATGAGTCTGCTCCAGTCTCCTTGTTATCAACAGTCTTGCACAGGTCAGCAGAGAGCTCTCCAGTGCCAGCATCTGCATGAGTATCATCACATGCAGGTATCACTCCCACATCTTCATCCTCCCCATCTGCACTCTCAGTACCATTAAAAGCACTCAGTAAGGGCTGAGCAGAACTGGCTGACTCTTCCTTAGCTGGCAACTGCTGTTTTAGGTTTGCAGTCCTGCTTTCACCGGCCTCAGCTATCCCATCCTCTGCCTGCTGCTGGCCCGCAGCCCTCTCTGCTGCCCCTGCACAGTTCCTGCACTCAGTTTGGCCCATAGCCACATCCACGCCCCCCAAGGAAGCTGGGGCTTCACCTGCAGTTTCAACCACAGAAGCAGCTGAATGCTCCTCAGCACCTTGCGCTTCCTGATGGGGCCCGTCTTCACCACACAAGCCAGCTTGATCCAGAACAACTCCAGCAGATGTCATTCCAGCTTCCTCATTTGTATTTCCACAGGATGGAAGATTTACGGCACCGTCTGCACTTGCAAACAGGCTCCCTGTGCAGTCCTTCTCATGCGATGCAGCCCCAGAGCCTTCAGCGGAGGTCAGCCCCTCCTCTTCCTTTTTACTCAACATCCCATTTTCACTTTCACAGAAGCACTCTGGGTTCTGTGCATCCCCCAGGCTCAGCAAGTCATTTGGCACATCATTAAAAGCTCCCAAACTCCTGCTGTTGCATCTCTCCTCCTGGTGGGTTTGGTCTGAGAGCTGCCCAATGTCCAGATGAACAGGATCGGATGGACTTTCCTGTCTTCCTTCTCTTGCCAGTTCTTCCAGGCTCTGTGAAGTAGTCGTTGGGTGACCATCTGGCTCTGCCCCCTTAGCACAGCTGTCTCCAGAATCTCCCAGCACAGGCTCTGAATGCTGCCTTAAACTCTGCAACAACACAAAAACAAAATGAGATTAGTTTGCTCTGTCACACATTTACACTGCCTCCACCACGCACAAGATCTGTGTCTACATAATCCCACCCCATGCAACTCCTGCTGCCTCTGAACCTCCTCTACCTGGTGCTGACTGGGACAGAGTTACAAACATAACAAAGTATGTTATGTGTTGGTTTTGTTATGCAGTAATACTGAAATCCTTAGAATGAGAGAATGGAGAGCATCTGGAGGTCATCTAGTCCAGCCTCCTCGTGAAGCTGGACTATCGCCAATGAAATCAGGTCAACCAAGACTTTATCTTGCCAAGTCCCCAGAGATACTTCTCCCGTGATGGAGTACCAGCACCATTCTGGGCAACCTGTTCCCATGCCACACCACCCTCCCACGAAGAAGCTTTTCCTACCAGCCAGCCTGAACACCCCGAAGGTGAAATTCATCCCTCTACCCCCTTGTGACACCATCTGCCACCACTGAGAACTGGGATATTTGTAATTGCTCCTTGAGCAGCTGTAGTCATATTTCTTGAGTGCACTTAAATTCAAGATCAGTAAACGGCAGAATTTAGTCTATCAAATAATGCAAACATACACCTGCCTAGTGCCAAAGGGCTTGAGCAAATGATGCTCAAGAGCAAATTCAGATCCCTGCCCAATGGCACTCCCCAGTTCTCATCAATATTGCTCAATTTTGTCCATATTGATGGAAACAATGCTTCAGACACGGGAATGGGCTGATGATGTCCAAACAGGACTAACTAACAGTGTAATCTATTCCTGATAATTGCATGCATAACTGAATATCTGAAATTTATGTCCCAAATAATTAAATATCTAAAATTTATTTCCTAAATAATTAAATATCTGAAATTTATTTTCTAAATGGAAATAAAATCCAGAAAAATCTGACATACTATTTAAATTACTGCCTGCGTTACCATGGAGCAGCAGCAACATATTTAATTCCTTATCTGCATTTTCCTTCCAGAGCCTGCTTCATCAAGGATTCCCCAATCTTTTAATAGTTTGACACAATCAAACCTTTACTTAAAACCCCTCATCTGTTTCAATATCTCCTTGTTTTATTCTCTCTCTGCAGCACACAGATGTTCACATCTTACAAAAAGTGACTACTTCAAAGTAATGAGTGACCTCAATCCTTCAGTGCACACCCTGCAGAGCTCCCTTGATCTACTTGGGGTTCTGCACCATAAGCTTGCAGATGTTATGATGGCTTCCCTCTCAAGGGCCTGTGACTCTCCACAAATACAAAACCCCAATGAACTATTTCAGTTCTGTTACTTTTTGCATCTGTTTGTAAAAGTAATCCCCAAAACCACACGCAGCCTCGCAGCCTAACTTAGGTCCCTAAGTTAAGTTTTAAGGTCCATAAGTTTTAAGTTCTCAGAGAAAAAGAATTTCATACCAAAAATATCAGCTTAAACACCTCTTTTTTCCCCCAAATTCTAAAATGGCCAACATGTTAATTGATGCATCACAGGGAACTTCTGGATATTGCACATACAGGAAGTAGTTAAAATCATCCCTGCTACGTTGAGGATATTGTGTTTACTCATCCTTCCATGCTCTGAGGTTTGCAAGCGATGAGCACAACTGAATCACTGACCAGTAAACATACTTCTGCTGTTTGCCAAGAATCTTCTATCAAAATATTCCAGCTACCCAGCTCCCATTTATGCTGCCACCCAAGACAGGTTAGCATCAGAGGCAGGCAGCATGGTACCTCCATCCATCATGTGGCACCAGAGACGGTATGCAAGGCTCTGCATGCGGCAGTACCCACAGGCTGCTGCTATTATTTGCAAGGGCAAACAAACAGGATCCAACAGTGTGCTGGCTGTCTGATGGCTATAACCCTGCAGCGCAGCATAGATACTGTGATGCTGGTTTCCAGCCAGGATCAGACAGACACAGACAACACAGCCAGGATGGACAGACAGACACAGTGATGCTTGCTTGAGAGGGTCCATGGCAGCCCCAGCATCTTCACTGTGAAATCACTCTGCCAAGAGCCTGAAACACAGAACCGTCTCCAAAGGAAGCCAACTGTCTTTTGACTGACCCAAAATGAACCTAAATGAAATAATTACAGGGCTGCTTTCCAAATTCAAATCAGATTAGATGTGAAGCGAAACAGTGCTGGAAAGAAAAAGTCTTTTTCTGATTTCATTGTCAGGCAAAATGTACCCATCTGGCACTTGCACGAACAAACAAGCAGCAAGCTGGATGTGCCAGCCATGCTTTAGTGTCTTTTGATGGAAAGAGGAAATGATTTCATAGTTATCCTGGGTTTGCAACTCATGTTATCAGCTCCTGTTGAGTTCAGGAGTAATTTCCCAGGAGTTTCACCTGGGAAGGGTGAAAACAGCTCAGGGTGGCCCACACCTCAAGCTCCCCCCCAGCCCACTGCCTGCAGACAGCAATTCTCCCCTTCCCTATTTAAAGGAACAAAACCAGCTTGTTATTTAGATCCCACACCTCTGTAACAGAGCTGATGAAGGAAGACCCACAGGTGATGTCAGCTGAGCAAGACATGGAGCCATTTCTGAGAAGGCGCACAGAAGTGACCTGCTGGTGAGGGATGGGAGCAGAGAGAGCCCACAAGGCCAAGCAGAGCCAGCCTTGCACAGCCACGAACCTGATTCTCTTCTGAGAGACAAAGTCTGATGCCTAATACAGCTTTACCAGATCTCCCCATGCTCAAACAGAAGAAAATAGTCAGGTGTCCACCTGGATGTTTGACAGTGACATCCAGAGAAAACATACAGGTAAATATGCCCCTGTAGGGTGCCTACATATGAAGTCCTCACCAGATGCCAAGCTGCAGCCAGCCAGCTCCATTTCTCTTTCATCACCTCACCCTGTTCCTTACCATGTGCTGATGGCTCTGCATGTGCATCTGAAGGTGCCGTATGTCGCTCTCCCAGTTGGCTGCTTCCCCTTCCTTGGTTTCAGCCGTCAGCATGTAAACATCAAGTCCACGGTGGTGCTTCACGCTGTAGTCCCCTGAGTGCACAGTGTGAGACAAGGTGCTCCAGGAGTCCGGTTCCCTGGCTTCCTCTCTGCAACAGAATAAGCACAGGTTAATCTGCAGGCAAGGAGGGATGCTGCATTGCAGGACACGCACGCTGTTCTTCACTCTGGACATCATCTAATCAACGGCCTGAGCAGAACAGAGCACAGGCTCCAGGGCCAGACAGACAAATACACACGCACACTTCTTGGTCTTGAAAATTAATGTGATTTAGAGTTAATGCCACCCATGAGCTTTATTTCACAAGGTCCTTCTCAGGTAAAGACCTGAATTTTATTCCCAGACTATAAGAGACTGGAAGCAAAGGGCACAACAATTGCTTTGTAAAGTAAATTTATTGCAGGTGAAGATCACCAAAGCAGAACAACAGACACCTGAAAGACACAACTGCAGGGACAAGTTAGAAGGAATGAGGATAGTCATGATGCAGACGCTACAAGTTCTACACCAAAACCACACGCTACTTTGCTTCACAAACACCCAACAGCCACCAAATCATAGCAGTTCTTTCACTCCTGAAATGAATTCAGCTTGCTTTGTGAAACTGCTTCTGTGCAAGGTCTCAGTATTGTGAGACAGTTGTCCTGCAGCACTGTCATGCATTTTTGTATTACCAATCAAAAGGAAAGAAAGGAAAAAAAAGATGCTATTATAGGTCAGAATGAAAGAATACCTCAGCAGTTACCTGTATTCAATAGAAATTTCTACTCAGTCATCTCTTTTTGAATGTCAACCCCTGATTTGCACAAGCTTGTGACTCAACGCAGTAATTCTTCAGGTCTCACCACGCTGCATAGCAGCTCTGCTGCCCCTCTGAGGGGGTGAGCAAACACTTATTGAGGTGTTCATCTAAAGCTTCAGGTTTACAGATTTCATTCTGAATCAGAACTGATTCAGGAAACCCAAAAGCTATTTTAATCAACCCAGGACAGAGCAGCTCATACAGCACCACATCAAGCCCTGCATCCCGCTGGAGAGATGCAGACCCAAGAAAGAATGTTATCAGAAAGAGGGCTTACAGTGACCTGCTCAGGGGTGTGAGAAGTGGAAACTTCTGTCTACCAGGGCTGCACCTACTAGGTTGGGGTTAGACTAGATGACCTTTAAGGTTCCCTTCCAACCCAAACTATTCTATGATGCCCCTTCCCCATCGTGGAGACCAGCCCCTGTCACAACAGGTACCCCCAGATCTCCCTTTGCAGCCAGACATCTATCTAGAAGGGAGAGAGCTGTGATTGCATGCAAATGATTAGTAATTCAAGAAGGTACATATACAGCAAGTATTAACACGGTAAAATTGCACATAGATTTCAGCATCAATGCTGATGGGTTTCTTACTGTAGAAATAGCCAATCTTTCTAATAGTCTACCTAGGAAACCACAGAACTCTCTCTCTGGGAAGCCAAGCAATTTAGAAAGCATAATGAGCAAGTTATGATCAGCAACAGGAATGGGAAGAATAAGATGGGAAACGGTGGGATGCTTCACCATATGACAGAGAAACCTGTGCAGATGAGGGTGGTTGCAACCTCTGTCCCTGCTCTGCCCCACCACAACCACCCTCCCCCTTCTGTGACTCATTTTGGGTTAAACCTGCAAGGAAATTCAGACAAAGCAAACCTCTGACTTCAGCCATTCACCATGTAACTCAATTGACTTCAGCAGAATTACTCCTGATTTAAACAGAATCAATATTTCCATAGAGAAACAGAAGGAAGTGTCCAGCTCTTGGTGACAATCAGTATAAACCCACAGAGGCACCAAAGTCAGCTGAGACATTACAAGTGACTAAGGAAATGACCTTCCTTTATCAAGGAAACACAAGAGATTTCTGTCTGGAGTGTTTTTCTTTTCAGCTGTCATACATGAGAAACCACTGTCCTCAGGGCCACTCTCAGTACAACGAGGCAGTCAGCACAAACCCCATGTTCACCCACTCATGGGAACAGCATCAGCCGGCTTAAAGAACAGAGCACTGTGAGTCTGCTCCACTTTCTCATCAGCTTCAAGGACACTTATGAGCACCTTCAAATCATCACCCCCAAAGCAGCCTGAATGACTTCAGCCTTGAAGGACCCTCAATGGCTTCAAACGCCTTTGAATCTGGAGCAAGATGACAGGCAGAGTTTGTGCATGCCAACCCCTCCTGCAATCTGCCACCGTCACACGGAAGGCTGGATCAAATAATCACTTCTGCTTACAAAGATAGCAATTCCTTTTCATATTCAAGCTGCTGATCTGTGTTACTCTCTATAAAAGGCTTTAAACCTTTTGAAAAACCAAGATCTTTATTTACTTTTCACTATGAGGGTGCTGAGGCGCTGGCACAGGGTGCCCAGAGAAGCTGTGGCTGCCCCATCCCCGGCAGTGTTCAAGGCCAGGTTGGACACAGGGGCTTGGACCAACCTGCTCTAATGGAAGGTGTCCCTGCCCATGGCAGGCAGCTGGAACTGGATGAGCTTTAAAATCCTTCCAACCCAAAGCAGTCTGGGATTCTATGATCTAAACCCAATACATCTTAGAAATTTGACAGAACAGAACTTCAATGCTATTTGCACAAGTATAGAGGTAACAGAGGTTTTGTACAGCCTGATCACACACACAATCTTTAGTGACACACAAAGCACTAGTGCACACAATCACTTTCTTTCTCCTCCTTGCTTCTGTAACCACCAATACGCATAGTATAGGTAACCCACAAAACGTGCAACTAGAATGTGCTAAAGTGGGTTAAAAGAAATTGACTGTTTGTAGATGTTAAAGATACTTAAACACAGCATTCATACTGCAGGTGTTTGAAGTATTCCAAATGCCCCAGGAAAGTAGAAAAAAGAGTTTCTATATAAGCAAATTGTATAGATCACCTGCTAATTTGAATACTTTTGATGTTGAACTAAAGAGTTAAAGTTCACCTGATGCAGAAATGCTGACTAACCCCTTATGGTGCTTTACACCAACATGAACTGCAGTGGGTACAGACACTGAACTGATTTCAGAATTGCATAACCTGCCCTTCACTATCAGATCAAATATTAAACAACTGGGTTCAAAATCCTTAATGCTGACTTCTCAGCCCATTGACCAATAACACACTATACAGTAGGAAATCACACAAGACAGAAAGCTGGCTTGGTCCTTCAATGGCTGTTTGAAGATGCACCTATTCTAAGAGAGCACATCGAGCATTTCCTATAGCCTGGTCAGGATGCGGAGCTGCAGGTCCAACACAGAACTCAATGTCAGCTGGGAATCTCATCAGTAAACAGAAGGAATTTAAGGGGAAACTATGAAACTCAAGAGCAGATGCCATCTGTTGCATTTTAAATACAAACGCAGCAGTGGAGACTGCTTCATCAAGTGATTTTTTTCTTTACAGCTAAAAACAGCACCTCAGATCAGGACAAGTGATGTGGAAGGAAGACTTGTCTCTGCAGAACATCTCCGTATGCTGCAAGCGAGCATGACAACAGACCCGGTAACAGAACCCTGGAAAATCACCTGCCTGCATTTTCTATATATGTCCTGATATGGAGCTGGTCTATCATCACCACTTACCAACCACACAGGGCTGTTCAGGGCTTACGGCTCCTGCCGTTTCTCGTATCACCTCTGGATAAGGATTGCTAAGGAGGGGAATCATTTTCTTCTCATATCTCACCAAATCTTCTTCTCAAATCTCTTCTAAATCTCTTTTTCCTGCTGCTCCTCACAGGCCTGTTCACATGAAACTCATCTCCCAGAACTTCCAGTTTCCAAGCTGGATATCAGAGATAGTAAAAAGCTGCTTCCACCACACGGGCAAAGCCGCTTCTCTCTTCTATATTCAGAGGTGGATGCATACAAAACAAAGCAGAGGAAGGAGCCAACGAAAACACAAGCCTTTATCAGGATGTGGGAAAATATTAGGAAGTCAGTAAAAGCTGGAGCATGCAGTGGATGAGTAGGTGGAAAACAGAAACACAAACTCTTCCTGCTCCATCATGTTCACACCTGGTTCCCCCTGGTTCCCCCAGCTCCCAGTCTGCTCCTCTGTTGTGGCCAGAAGAAACCCACAGCACCTCAGCATCTTTCTAATCATGATGATCAATGAAACAACGATGTTTCAAATGATAAAGTTCAGCAATACACTGCCACAAAACCAGATCCTGTCAGAACACTGCTCCTCCCATGCTTTTGTAGCTAACAAGCATCTTCTTAACACACAGATGCCCCATCAAGTCCTCTTCACTGCCATTCTAAGGTCTTTGAATCCCCCTGTAAGTGTTAACCTTGCACCAGCAATTACAAAGTCAACTGTTCTCATCTCCTATGTTCTGTTCTCAGACGGCAGCAAGCCACATACTACACCTACTCCCCGGGACCCTGAATAGCAATCAGGACACTTTGTGGACTGGTTTGGGGTAGAAGAACGGAAGGAGAAACATCAGCATCGCTTCAATAAACTCTCCAGCTCCTGATTTTGCTTAGCCAGAAATAGAATGAAAAATATTCATAGCATCACCTGCCAGTGTGGTGGCAACCTCCTGGCCACTTGCATGTCCCTGCTGTGTCCTGCTTGTGCTCCCAATACTGGGAGAACTGAAGTAAGGAAGGACTCACAGTCTCACATGCTTGGTTTCCACATCACAGTAATGGCAGGGATGCATACAGGGAAGGGGGGTTCAGCCTATACACCCTCAGTGGTACAAGCAGACTGTTTACATGACCTGTCACTGAAGTCACAGCAGTCAGCAATGTTTTCAGCCCCAAGAAAGCAGTGCTTTTGGAAAAGCCTCTGTGCTGCAGATGACTCTTTGCCTATGCAAAGGCTGAATATAATGGAACAACCTAACACCAAAATTAAATGAGAAATGTCCCATCTTTAACTATCATCCTGACCACACTAAGATCTCTCCACTGAATGTGAACTGGACACTTTGGATATCAAACACACACCTAAAGGACTTCCTAATTTTGGGTGCAAATAAATGAGGTACCAGGCAAATCACCTTGCAGCTCTGGCTCAGAAAAGAAGGAAATTGTATTCACTTATAAAAGTAAAGCTATTGAAGAAGCATCCTCACTTGAGAGGCACAGACTTCACCAATTACTTACGTAAAATCAGAACAATAGCAAGTGACAACCATGGACTGCAAAACTCCCACAAACCCCTTCTGCTCCCAGTGAGTTATTCCTCGTGTGTTCATTATAGCACTTCAATTTTGGAAATACAGACTTGTGCTGACTGACAGTTACACTGAGCCACCTGGTTGTTACCAGGAGGTCTGAAGGAAGCGCAATCCCAAAGCTGTGCAGAAAGTGCTTTATAGCAATAAGCAAGCAGAGAAACCAGCAAAAGCAGAACTAGTGTTACAGTAAAGAAAATCAGGGTTACAACTCTGAAACGTCTCTTTGCAGGGATTAGAAAAAGCAACGCGTGTTTTTATGGGCTTTACTTTTCTCTCCCCTTTTGCAGAGGACATAAATCACTCTCAGCTGTGAAGGAATACAAGCATTTGGTAAGAAAAGCAGTGCTTTTGGGTTACAAGATGCAACTCCGCTCTGCAGAAATGAAATCAGAAATAAACCCAGCGTGTGTTGTGTTTTACAAAGCAGTGTTTCCAACTTCCCTGAAACACCGCACGCCCGCTATTTCTTGGAGCCATTTTCCTTGCCTGACTTCCAGAGCATTGGAGAACATGGAGCTGGCAGGCGGATTATGTTACTACACCAAAGAGCATTTACAAACATCGACTGCAAACTGCAGCTGTCCTCTTGTAGGGGCCAAGTTACTCACACGGAGCGCACTACCCGCCTGGGTAATAACCCATGCTGCCTCTTCAGAGCCAGCCCTTCTCCAAGGAGCAGAGCAGCCCAGCTCTGCCAACACCCTCCAGCCAGACTGCCCAATTCAAACACAGGCAAGCAACAGGCTGCAAGGAAGGACCCTTTGCTTTGGAATTCACTTCTAGCAGGCTCAAACGGTTAACATTGAGAGAGGCTATGCAGCCTGCCTGGTTTCCAAAGCTTTTTCATAGAAGATAGTTTATTTAAGTTGTAGCTTGATTTGTAGTTAAATTTGTATTAAAAAATAAAAATAAAAAACAAAACACAAAAAGCAACTGTTAACCAAGCTGCTAGCAAACGACCAAGAATATACCTAGAGAAAATCCTCATATATATGTATATATAAGTTCCACCCACTTCAAAAAAAACCTCCTGCCCTTATGCACTGCCCTATTCCATTTGCACTGCACAACAATGTTCACTGTGCATAGAATTACAGAATAGTTAGGGTTGAAAAGGACCCTGAGATCATTCAGTGCCAACTCCAGTGCTATGGGCAGGGACATGTCACACTAGACCATGTTGCCTAAGGCTCTGTCCAACCTGGCTTTGAGCACTGCCAGGGATGGAGCATTTATTGGTTCTTTGGGTAACCTGCTCCCAGTGCCTGTTCCTCACAGTAAAGAACTTCTTCCTTATATCCAACCTGAACTTCCGTTGCTTAAACCCACCACCCCTTGTCTTATCACTACAGTCCGTGATCAAGAGCCCCTCTCCAGCATCCTTGTAGGCATCCCTCAGATACTGGAAGGCTGCTATGAGCACACAGCTTCTCTTCCCCAGGCTGAACAGCCCCAACTTTCTCAGCCCACCTTCATACGGTGCATGTTTTAATCTCGAAGATAAAACAAGCACACTAAGGAACGACACACAACTGATAAAAAAACACTGCTACCAGCATCCTGCTCTCCAACCTCACTGATTCATGTGTGCTCTATCACAGCTCCTCAGATCGGTCTCAAAAGCATCAACAGATGCGCCTTTCCTGCCAGAGGATGCAGAAGCCAGCGCACAAGCTTGAGACTACAGAAATTAATCCTTTAGGGTTACAAAAGTGAAATAGGAAGAGTGTTTCATTTTTTGACATGAAGAACTGCAACAGCTGAAAAGGGAAAGCTCATCTGATAAACAGAAACTCCCAATGTCACCAGTGCAATTGGGTTTGGAGGAAAATATTTACACTGTGGCTGAAGCGAGCTGCTTTGCAACCAAATCCCAGCAGAACTGCAACAGCCGCTTGCAAATTAGTAAGCAAGGGAACAATAACCCCCCCCATGGATAATGCAGCACAAAAGACGCTGCATTCACTTATTTGGCATAGTGCAGTTTAATGACTTGTGAAAACAATGACTCCTTTGCACGGGCATTGTTGCTGCTCTGCGTTCTGCTGAGTGGTACGAGCTGCGCGCCAAACTTGCGTGCATGGATTAGACTGAGTGCACATAAGCAGAGCACAGAAAAGAGGTTGCACAGTGTCCACTGTGTTTTCACAGTACATAAATGACATATACTCTCTTTACGGAATTTGCTTTTCTGTATTTTGAAACTCAGTATTTCTCCTCTCAATAGCGATTTTCAAGCTTCAATCCCATCTTATTGCTGAAAATGATAGTATAAATATCTCTGCTGGGGCATCAGGATGTGCCTGTTTTGCAGTTGTCACCTTCCTATGGTGAAGGGCTGTGGCCATCCCCATGTCACACAGTACTCCCACCACTGTCCCATTGAGAAAGGGGTCCATGACCTCCAGCATCCATAGATTTCTGTTTGCTGGGCTGCATGGAGGTAGCAGGATTTTCAGAGGCATGTAATGTGTAATATATACAGGATATACTAAGAAGAACAGGAGCTGGGATTTTGATGGTAGCATTACTGAAGTTGCTAGTGTCTTATTTTCAAAGATGAACTGTAAAGGTCACCAGAGAAATCCCTTGGATTACACCAGCAGCATCCATAAAAGGGAATGGCACACGGCAATGCCACATAACCCAAGCCATCTTCTCCACTAAGTGAGAACTGCCATTACAGTACTGGAACCAGTTGTGAAATACTCCACCAAATACATGAATAGCTGTTGTAATAGTATTTTTTACTTCCTATTTCTTTTTAAATGACCAGCTACGCACATACTCAGACTGCAGTGTTTGCTATAATAAAGTTTTGGCCAACTTAAGCTTCTTGACAGTATGAAAAGACTGTTAATGTGGTTAGTTTCACCTTGGAGAACTTTGCTCCAGATACAGGATGAATTTGCACATTCCAGCTTTACAAGAAGGAGGAAGAGTTGTGTGTTTTCACAGCATGCCTGTTAAACTCAATGGAGAAAACAGTAACACTGTTATCACCTCTGTATTAATTCCAGCCAAAGGTGGCAGAAGAACAGGTTTGAGTATAGTTCTTGTGCCACCCCACACCTTCTCCTTCACCCTCACATTGCATGTGTTTGGTTGAATTTAAAGATGAAACTTAAACACAGTCACTCCAGCAACACAGGTCACACCTTCTGCCCTCTAACACTGCCCAACAACTATAGAAAGCAGAGTAATTTACAACCTGCAATGGAGAAATGTTGCATGATGACACGGACAACACAGCAGACGCCTAAACATGACACCGGGTCACTCAACCTAAACCCCAAGTATCTGAAAAGCTGACTCAGAAAAACAAAGGTAATTACAAAGCTTAAGAGAACCAGGCATCAGAATAATGCACATGCAGACCCAGTCTTTCCTTCTGTACAAATAACACCCTTGGGACTTACTTACGCTCTTTGTCTTTACTAGCCTCACCTTTTAAAGCTAAATCTCCAGACATTTGCTGTTCAAAAGGAACTTGTCATCTACTGAGGGATTCCTTTTAAAACACCGCAGTAAATGCTCACACCACTAGTTACTTGCTATGAGTGTGAAACATCTGGCTGCTTCTCAAGACCACTAAGAAGAGAACTGTTTCTGCTGTTAAATACTTGCATTAATTCTTACCTTCACTCTTTACTGATGCTGGTAAAAACCTCTAACAAGATTCTGCCTTATTTCAGTATCATTATCAATTACCATTATTTCATTTAACCAAAAAACTCCCAATCTATAAAGTAAGAACACAACAGTCAACCACCACCACAAAGCCCATTGGCTCCCCTCTTTTGGGCAGCTGTGCTAGTTCACAGAAAAGCCTTTTCACTTATGTTTGTAAAAGGTCTTAATGAGTTGCTATTACAGTGACTGACTTTGGGCTTTAAGAGACAGCTGGAAGCAGAACACTGTGCAACAGAAACAGAGAATAAAACAATACGACTGCATTTCTCCTAAACCCCAAGGACCTGCCCCCATTCCTGCTAGCAAGAAAGGTAAAAGCAAAATTACGCCCAAATTGCTTTTAGGGGTAGAGTTTAGCTCTTGGGTACTCTTCAGTGACGACGTGCAAAGACAAGCATGACACAGAATGGAACACTAGCAGAGGAACCATCAAATCATCCTTACTCTGTCAAAAGCTGGTGCAGCTTCTGGTAGCCCCTCTCCAAGGCCAAGCTCACAGGCGTTGCCCCTTCGTTGTTGTGGATGCTGAGAGCTCCTCTTCCCCCCGGCTGCTGGAGCAGAAACCACGTCAGCCGCAGCAGACCCAGCCTCACCGCAAAATGCATCAGTGTTTCCCGAGGGATGTTCTCTGGGAAGAAACAAGAAGGGGAAAATTAAATAAATGGGAATTTGTAGGCTGTGGGTTAGGTGAATGCCATACCCCACCTCCCAGAAACACCACACATAACGGCTGGCATGGAGCTGACAGCCCAAAAGCCACGGAACCTGCAGCACCTGGAAAAACACACTGCCTGCCAATATCCAGGAGAGACCAGTAGTTTAAAGCGAGGGACGTGTTACAGTGGGACTGGAGGTGCTTAGGACCACAGAAGTCAACGTGAAAACAGCACTGTTTTATAAACAGCCATGGCAAAGGCCAAGTTGCAGCGCTTCCAAACAGAACCTGGCATGGTCGGATGGGATTTTCTAGATGCCCAAGCCTTCTCCTCACACACCCAGGGCCAGGTTTTAGAAACAGAGAAGTTTTGTTCATTAATGGGATGCTGATTTGTCCCAAGGCATGAAAAAGATCAGTTACATTTGAAGCACAAACCTAAAGCAGTCAGGGAAAAGAACAGTTTAACTTCTCATGCAGACAAACTAAACGTGAGGATTTTGCTTTCCTGATTTAATTACGCCTCAGACCAGCTTTCCTCAGCTTTACACAGTAGCTCTATTGCTCTGAGTAGCAGCATTTATAAACTAGCAACCTCCACTGCTGCTTTTTATGTTTAATAACCATGACCTTCTAATTTGGTAGAAGGCACTCTTGAGCCTAAAGCTTTCATCTCAGAAAGAGATCCCCCTACTCTAAGAGCTGCAGCCCTTGAACAACGCTCTGAAAAGCTTCAACCAGAAATGAGCTCCAGATGCACTGCTGAAATACAGTATTTTCAGTTCAAAGCCTGTTACTTCTGTATGGAAGGCAAAAGCATGAGGGTTAAAAACAACCTGTGAGAAACAGAGATTTGTTCTTTTAATTAACAAAGGATTTCAATATTGACTGGCAGCAACAACACCACCACAAAAGCACCAGCTGGGTCTCAGTAAACCATGCCAGGGAGCACACTTGGTATAATACCTTTAGTATCATAGCAATGATTTACTGGGTTATTAATTTGGTTGCCAGCCAAACCTATACAGCAGATTTAAAAATGCAAGTACATGATGGCTTTAGGGTTTACTTTTTCCTCCCTCAAGTAGTATATGTCCAAGAGGAATCACTTCAAAGCACTGTTGTTTTTCTTGCTTACTTGCTTTCTTAAGGGACATCATTAAGACCTTCAGTGCAAAACAAAGCCAAAATGGGCAGTTCCTCCCTACCTGACACACAATTTTTCCCAAAGTTTTTTGATCCAATTCCTGAAGAACTAATCTGTACTCGAGAACCAAAAGCTTTCTGGCAACATCTCTCTTCCGAATGACTCCAAAATTAGGTCTCTGGGCTACAAACCAGTCCTTCCCTGCTACGGCCTCTTGATTACCGTAAAGGGAAACCATGCTGTCCTGAATACATGAGCATGTCTGAATGGAGGTTCCAGCTGATCAAAGAGAAAGGGAATAGCTGCGCTCACTCCGAAGCAAACTCCCAGCCTGTGGGAGAGTAATGACAAGGATTTGGGCATTAAATGCTATCAAGTGTAACAATTTAGAATTAACAACACAACAAGGTAGTTAATCAGCAGCCTTGAATTTAAAGGAAAATGAAAAATAGCACACCATGTAGACAGACATACAGGAAAGGCTACCAATGAAGCTGCAAAACAAGGAAGTGTGGTACAGGTAGTCAAAGAGTGAAAGCAGATACCCAAGGTTTCACTCAGTGTACTTTACCTCTACACTGGTACAGTCAGTGTACACTCAGTGCACATTCCCTGTACACTGGCAGAGTCAATTAGGATAATTAAAGCAGAACAACTCTTCCTACTGAAATGCAGGAAGCACAAAAGCACTCCTGTTGGAGAACAGGACTGCCCTGCGAATAAAGGATGTGTTGCACTGCTCTGACCACATCTGTCCTAGCACAGGATCTCCTGTTCTAGCTGCTTTGTTCAAAGGGAAGATCATCTTCCTATTTAAAACAGCCCTGCAGAAAAAACTGAGCAGCACAGACCTGCAAAGCATAAGCATGTGTTCCTGGACCAAAATGCTGCTTCCTAGTTCAGCTGAGAGCCTTACAGTTAGATAGAAGCATCTTCTACTCACCAACTTATGGCTCACCAATAAACACAGATACCAACTGCATGTTCTGGAAGATGCAGGCAAATACTCATCCTGTCCCCGATCCAAATGGGTACCCCTCTCTGTCCCATATTTCCACAGACAAAATGCTCTCTCCCAGTTGTCCCAAATGCCCATGTAATGTGCTTGGATGATTGCAACTTCTGAAACCCACCTTTTCCCCATTCTTTTAAAACAACCTAAAAGATTATTTTCATTACTGGACACAGCAGTTCCAGCATTTAGATGTAGGTGTATGCAAACGTAACTGAACTGAAAGTGGCCCTGCCCCAATGCCTTTGAGCAACGACGTGCGCAGAAGACCTGTACAAGAAAACATGGCATGCTGCCATCCAGAACATATTACACGTACAAGCTCACTATCCAGGGCCATTTGGAAGGCTCTGCCTAACATACATACTGGCATGAGGCCATCCTAACAGATGGGCACAGATGATGGCAGTGAAGAGACAAAGTACTGTACATACAACAACTGCAGGGGCCCCAGGCAATGGCCTTAGAAGGTTCTGGAGTGTGCAAAACTTGCATGGCTACAAATAAAAAGGCGTGTGCCATCTGTGGGCTGGAGTAACTACTAATATATAACCAAAAATACACCTGTTAGGGGATGGTGTTGCTCAGAACAAGATGAGAGTTGGTCTGCATCAGGTACATAGTGTTGCTGGATGGAGAGGATGATAGATAGAATCATAGAATCATAGATCCCTGCAGCCTTCCTGACTTTGACAGGATAAAGCTTATAGCACAAAATGTTGGAAACTTCAGGGTCTTGTCATGGTGCAATATGCATGTTCCAGGCATGGAAGAGCAACCAAAGCTTTGACATGCAACAGCCAGAGCTCCTTTTCCTACCACATATCAAGCACAAGCTCCTCATCTTAAAATGGCTGCCCATGGAATGTCAACAAAAAGCTTCTTGTAATTAGGAAACTGTGGAAATACAAGGCACACACTATTGGAAAGGCCAAGGTTGTTTTGTTCCATCCTCGTTTCCTAGTAATAGGCAAGAGTTGAAACATATGATTATTGTCCCATAATGGCAGGGCACTCTAATCCAGCTGGCAAAACCTAGGGCTTCAGATATATTATTTTTACATCTTTTTTTTTTAGCTGTGACATATGAACAGACAGTTTATCTGCGTAACTAAGGACAAAATTTCCATAGAAGCCTGTCAAATGTACTGTGCTAATGGTAAAGGATTAAGGTTTAAGGTACTATTAGCACAAAACAAATAAGCACTGAAGAGGGGGGGGAAAAAAAGAAGTTTGGGTATGACACATCCAAGAAAGCACAAACTGTTCCTTCAAGTACAAGCTCTCATTTTAATCCTGATTAAATAACAGAAGAAAAATACTGTTCCTTTTAAAAGCCACTATATGGAGCAACCCACACCTAACAGTTTATCCTCCATGCCCTGAGACATCTCAAGAAACAGCCAGCCATGGAGTGGTTAGCATCTCCTGCTAGTCTCCCCGTGATGCTGATCTTCACTTGGTGCTCACCCAAAATCACATATACTCAGCAATTTTAAGATCTACCATCAAATCTAGTCTCAAGATCTTGTTTTCTGCTCAAAATGTTCTCACTGCTCAGCTCGATCCTTGAGAAACAAGGGGAACAAAACCCAGAAGCAAGCTATCACTTAACACTGATGTCCTAGAGGAAGGCTCCGGCAGACAACAGGACTGAAGAAAGGTCAAGGCAAAGATGATGTGCTTGGAGTGATGAGTTTAGTTGATAAAAAGACGTGTGGGTAATTCCTTTATTTAATCTAGTAAACAAGAAATTTTCCAGAGGACCCCAAAGGATTTTCCTGTCCCCATTCCCACTAGTATCAAAGAGAACAGAAACTTTCTCATGCCAATGATTCCTCAGCCACAGTCTGAGTACACTGCCTGAACAAGATTTTCTTCTTCCCATTTTCCACTGTAGAGGATATTAAATATAGGTACGGAAAAGATTTCTTACATCTTATCAAGGACTACAGCTGAAAAGACCACTTGGCACTGCTGACACAGAAAAGCTCATTCCCATTTATATCACACAATCCTTTATCAGAGGGCAAAGAAGGCAGCTTGGAAAGGATATGGAACCCAACCAAAAAAAAACCTGTAGCCATTACATTGAAAGGGTTCAACTAGAAACTAGAAATAGTGCAGCAAATGAACAGATTAAAGCTTTTATATCTGAAAAACATCATCAGCTGCTTATCTTTAACATCCTCCCATGGAAAAAAAGTGTTAGCTCCAAATAATCTGATTTCCTTCTACTATTTCTGAAAGCTTTTTGAAGTTTTTTTTCAGGCTTTTTTTCTTCCAAATAAGGCACTTTTTGGGGTTACTTTATCTATTTCTACTTTGTCTCTGTTTCAGGCATTTTCTGTTTCTGTCTAAAACCCAAAATGATTTCTAATCATGGTGACACTCATGCTTTACACTGAAATCCTACTGGGTTTGTAGGTGAAGTTATTAAACACCTAACTCAAATCCATTCAGGCTATTTCAAGCCAGAGCATAGCACTTCCCTCTCTAAACACCTCCTATCTGGTAAGCTCAGGGAGTTTGATTTCTCAAGCAGTATTTACTGCACATGGATGTTTGTTCTGCAGCACTTCTGGGAAGCTCTACATATTCAAGACATCACTGTGTTCCTGAAGCTAAGGAGCTGTTAAGTGTCTTATCTAATGAGGTGGTCTCCTGGTTATCTGTTGGTAATCGTGGCTGACTATCAAAGGGACTGTTTCTCCTCAGGCTCCCAAGGGAATGGCTCCATGTGGTTGATCACCACCACCCTCTGCCAACATTAACCAGCTCCTGCAAGGTTAGAAAGCTCACACAAAAAGGCTCAGAAAGCTCACACAACCAACACTGGAACCATAGCTCTGGGTTTTACCACTTATTTTAATGACAAAACCAAAAACACTGTTTCCTCAAAGACTTTGTCAGAGTATTACTTAAAACATATTCTGAAAGTGACCTGTTTACTACTGATAGTTAATGCAAGGATTTAGTTAACTCAAGGATTTAGGTAACTCAGGCTCTCTAAGCTTTTCATACATGAGCCTTGGATCCTCCCTAATTCTTTCTCTGCCTTTTCCCCCCCTCACTGCCACACAAACAAGCCACGCTCATTACTCACACCTCCAAATACTGTGCTCTGGTTTTCTAGATAGCTTATTTTCTCTCCAGACATTTAAAACAGAAAAATCACAGTCCTGTATTTACATTGCATAGATCCTCAGAATACATACTGCATTTTGATTTCTAGATATGAATGGGTAACAATCTGTTCCATTTAAACAACTGCCTTTAAATGCCACTGAGAACAGCAAATTACCCTATTTTTGACAGCAGTTAAGAACTATGTTCTTCAGAACATTAGAGTGCCCTTGTAATAATTAAGATGGACATAATGACATGGCACCTGAAAGTGATGCTGTGTCTGGAATACCATGGTAACAAGAGTAATCCTTAATTATGGATATTCTGAAATGGTGGATGCCGCTTGAGTTCATACAGATGGCCAGATAATTAAGAGCAAGAACCTGCAATCTCCTACTGCAGAAGGACAGTGCATGGCTGGGGAAAGAGAACAGCCCTACGGATAAAGCTGTCCCAGAACAGAAGTGATGAGGAGTGCAGCTTGCAGGGAGGAGGTGAGGACATACTTGCCCAAGGGGCTTTCAGACACACTACCTGTGTGAGCTGTCATGAGAAGTTTGAGAGAATAGCTTTTATTTATATATATAAATTGTATTTATATATATAAAGGGGAAAATATTCCATAACGGAATTGTTACCTACTCCTTATTAAAGTTAAATCGGGATCAAATCAGAATGGCAAAGAAACAAGGAATTTGTGCAAGAGCATCACCTTTTCACAGAAAAGCAAGCAGGAAAACCTGTGAGACCACAGATACATATTTTAAGAGACAGGATTCTGTTTTCTGAACTTGCTTTTTCCATCAGGATTCTTGATGTCCAGCCACTGTTCTCCATCACCTGAGTGTTACTGTCAATGGTGAGACCAGGCTGGGTACCATGCTCCACACCGCTGGCTGCTGAGCTAAAAGCTTGTCATCAAAGCCCCAGTCCTACAAAAACACAGTCTGGTGTTAAATTTGGCACAAAGGGTTCATTCAAATCTTTCAGGTCCAAACAAGTCCACTTTTTTTTGAATGGATTTTGGGAGAAGAACTAAGGACTTTTGACATATTTAGTCTTTTATGCTGTACCAGAGTAATATAAATCGGTAAATATTTGAGTTTGAGCAGTGTTAACCAAATACCTACAATAGTATTACTGGAAGGAGTAGATTAACCAATGCTGCTCAGTGCAGTTAATTTTGGGTCAGTTTCTTTTTAAGCAATAAAAGCCTTTCCTGTTCTCGAACAGTGAGGGGAGAAAGCAAATGAGACTACTGCAAATGGACGTAGCAGGGTTTTGAAAATGCCCCGATGAAAACAGGAGAAAAGGTTCGTTTTATTTTCAATCTGTTTTAATGAAAATGATGTCTAAAGAGATAACAGAGGAACAAAAGTAAAAACAGCCTAGTGTTTAAAAGATTAAGATTACTGATGCTAAACAAACTTCTCTTGTCAGATAGCAACAGCTAACTTAAGTAGGTTACAAGCAAGCAAAAACGAAGGGCACTGGAATGTTTGCAGATGTCCTCCAGCAGCTTACAGTAATTGCAGAGATATTTCTAACCTGCAGCTGAAAGGACATGCTGTATGACCATACCATACCTTTAATCTTGAGCAATGACAAACTCTTAAAGAACGAAGACCTTGGTTTGGTAACCAAAACATAAGCAAGTAGATGATGCTCACATAGATTTGTCCACAGTAATCCTGCACTTTCCATACTAAAAAATCGAACTTACTAATGTGTTAGAAAAGAGAATAGGGGGAGATACTGCAGCAACGTGAGGAACAATCATGGATGAACGTAAACCACTGAAGATCATTTTAATGATGTGATCACCAGTGCGTGGCACCCAGGAGCACACAGGGTTTGATGTGCCTCCTCTTCACTGGGATAGACCTTAACCACACACTGCACTGCACACACCTACCAACACAAAAGACTAAACAGCATCAGCAGATGGAGCTGGGTGGTAAGTTTCAGCAGCTTCTCTGACCTCTGAGGTGTGTGATGCACTAACTCCCTGTACCCTGCTCAAAGACTGGGGTGCAGGTAAAAGCAAGGAGAAGCCTCTGTATAGAGCTATCCCCTCCCAAAACCAGCACAAAGTTGTGCTCGATGGTGGATCATCTACCCAGCTTCTGCCTGCAGAAAGGCCATTACTTCCCAACTGCTTTCATAAAAGCCAGACTCCTACTTCAGTCCTTCAAAACAACAATTTGTAAACGTGCTTGACAGCAAGGGCCATCTCAGAACAGCAGTTCCCCATCAAGCTGCAGCACTCGAGCTGGCTGAGGCTCCCAGCTCGCTCCGGCGTTCAGAGGTTTTGTTAAACAGCAGCGTTTTGTTTCCGACCCACAAGGGCCCATAGAGACATGCCAGCTTAGAGGCAGAGCTCAGAATCTTTCAAGAAGGGATCTGACATTTCCTTTTGTTCTCATTTCTATAGTATTCTCTCCTTTGAGAAGGTTATTTGAAGTATCTGGTGCTGACATTTAGCAAAATGTGAAATATGAATTCGAATAGCTGTTCATAGGTAGTGACACAGACCCACTTGGAGAAGCACTGGACAGAATATGTTTAATTGTCCCAATTGCTCCCTCAGTTTTGATCCTTGCTGTGCTTTTCTCTCTCCCACACACAAATTAACCCAGAAGCATCAGTACAGGGGTACTGTGTTTTACCACTGTGTGTTTTCTAATCTAGTGCTCAATCATAAATGAGGGAGATCTCTTCCATCTTGCTATAGCAAAACAGAGTTTCGGGACCAAAAGGATGCCTACATTTGCAAATCTTTCCTTTCACAATGACAAAAATCCCCCTCAAACTCCCTATAAAATTATCTCACTGCAAAAAAGTTACCAGATAAATCTGGCATTAGCAAAAAAGCTGATCAGCAGAGAAAGACCAAGAAGTGAATAAACTGTCCTTTTCCAGCTATTTATGGAAGGACTCACTGCTAGGAAACAGTTTATAGCACTGTTCTTGGATAATAGTTGCATTTAATGTCATTATATTTACTTACTCATTTATACTTCCATCTACCAAAACCTCACCACAAGATGCTAAAACACTCAGCGTTACAGAGCTCCCCAACGCCACTGTGGGTGCAACTGATGCTCTACATGACATTAGCATTCAGAGCCCCACATGATCCAGGTACATAAATGCACACTGAGCAAATCAATGTAAATCTTATATCCTGTTTTCTCTATGTGCTGACTTTCCAAATAATCAAAATCAAAACCAGAAACGGGATCTCAGCCTTCCTGCAAAATCAGCAGCAATTCAGAGCTTCAATCAAAGTCTTCAGTGACTTAAGATCACTTCGACTGGATTTTTATCACTTCAACCAGAAACGTCTGCATAATCACAGCTTGTTTAAATACAAACAAAGCATCAGTGTAAAAAATACCAAGTGTTTATCTCCTTGTAAACATACAACAGCAACTGAATTTCTATCCAGACACCATTAAATATGATCCAAACCCTTTAACATCTGCTAACACTGCTGGGATTGTCTGTCTGCGTATTCACGTTTCCAAAAGCAGTCAGCAAGCTGGTGAAAAACAAAGCAAGAAAGTCTCCCGCAGAAAACCCTGTTGCAGTAGGCAGAACTGAACCTCCTGCACTGAGCAAGCCACCATCCCATCCTACTGAAGTGTTTATGCCACTGCATCCTACAAAAGATAAAAGATGCCTCACTCCCTAAGTGAAACTATTTGGTAAAGTACCCTGAAAATTCACAGCACGGATTTGTACCCACTGGAAATAGCTCCCCAGCCCTTCAATATGCTCCCTTAAAACTACCCTGGGACAAAAAACTGCAGAACTCCAAGGACACAGACATGCCACAGCATCCCAAACACTTCTGCTTCAGCAGTCACCAAAGACTTAGGGCCAGCCTTGGGGTTTACTCATCAGCATTCAGTAGCCCCCACTGCTTTGGTTAAGGGTCAGGTTTTCCCACCTTCACCTTCTTTCACCTTCAAAATCATGCAGGCTCATTTTGAGGAATGCCTGTGTTTGCCTAGTTGGTGTGCAACCAGGGATGCCATCCCAATCCTCAGGGGCAAAGCCCCAACTTCTCCAAGGAAAGTCAGATATCTATTTTACACATTACAGTCACTTTGCATCTGTGCTATAAAACCAACACTTACCAAAAGCGACAAATCTGCGGTACAAGGATAGTATTTCCTGAGCATCAGGCTTCCTACACACAGGTTTGTTGCAGGAAATCTCAAAAGCGTGATGCTGTTACACATACCACTGCATACGCACACACACAAAAAAACACCCCTCTGGGTATATGTTAAAGTACTGTACCAATCATTTACAATAGCTTCTTGTAAGAGAAGACACAGAGAACACATCATGCCTTATGTATTTTAAGGTGGCTGAAGTGCAAAGCATGGGATGCTGATGTAGCATTGGCGCACTGCTGCACAGCACGTCCCACCACCAAGCGCAGAGACCAGCACACCTTTTGAAAGGCATGTGAAGGGTGCCTAACGCAGGAAACCCCTTCTATGAGGCTTTTTACCTGTGTCCAAGCCCATCAGTCTCACATGTGCCCTAAAGGTCCTCACCGGTCAGGGACTGGTCCGCTCCCAGCACGTTCCATTCTGCCGGCAGTTTCAGGTGTCGAAAGGCCAAAGCCACTTTCTCATCCAAGAAGTCCACATCTGCAGCGGGTGGTCTCGACCGGTCCAAGAACCGGGTGAAGTTTAGTGCCTGCTGGTTGCCAGCACAGGTGGCCAGAAACTGGGCAGCGTCGTAGGCTTCATCCTGGACAAACTGGAAACTCTCTTCTGCCACAACCAGAACGGGGTGACCTTCTCGAGAGGCACAAAGTGCCACTTTCACTGTCTCACAGCAGTCATGGCCTGCAAGGGAAAGCCAAAGGAAATGGTAAGAAAGAATAGATGCATGCATTGAAGAAACACAACTGAGCAACTCCTCTGACACAAACAGTCTTTACATCAAATCAGGTAAGAGCAAGTTATTGAGGGTCACAACCCTAAATTAAACGCTGTCTTGGGAATTTATATGTATCAGAAATAAGCATTTCTTATGGACTTTTAAAAGAACAGATGTGTTAACTCTTCTCTGCCACAATGTAAAGCAAGAAATATAAGCCATCCTTACCTCACCAGGCAATCTTTGATCAGTGACAAGTCAGCTCAAGAGTGGTAATTCAAGTGAAGCCATCACTCACACATCAAAAGCTGGATTACAGAATATGGTCAAACTTTACTTTTCCAACTCCACAAGACTCCAGTAACTCACCAGAAACTAGAATCCAAGTGCTACAAAACTACGCACTCCAAATGCTGTCACAACACTTGGCTTCTACTGAAAACATCACAAATTAACCTAAAACAAAGACCTATATGGCTACAAAACACAACCTGCCCAGGCATGCCCTGTGCCTGCCCTCAGGCTCCCAACTTCACCACTGCACCTGCCTTTTGCTTGGGTTCACATGACAAAACAAAAACTAAGCTGCTTCTGCTACATGAAACTATGGAAATGGCCACTTTCCATACTTACAGAACAAGAAGGTTGGAGATTTGATAACTTACTTTGTTTGCTTGTTTAGGGCAGGGGAAAGAGGAGTAAGGATGCTCTGGCATAGCAGTGATTTCCTTGACTCGGAAACTAGTAAGAGAAATAAAATAAACCCACAACATCTTTCTGCGATGTTCAAAGGAAGAATATTCTCTGTGTCCAACATAACCAGCCCCTGTAATTGTCAGACATGCCCCTTCAATAATAAGGTTTGTGTTTCAAGTTCACCATGCAGCAGTTTCTTGTTCCAGTCTCGGACTGACGTCATGGGTGTTTCTGCCAGAACAGCATGGACCCTGCACTAATTACTGGAAAAGCTTCTTCTTGCCCATGACCTCAGCATACTGCTACATTCATGGAACCCTGCTTAATTAAATAAATTGTCATTTTGTATTTTTAAAGGCTTGAAAATGCACTCTGAGCTCCTATTTGCGGTCAGTGGGAAAGTTTCCTTCTTGTGTCGGTGCCCTTTGCTGTTGATTTCCCTGACAAAAGGAAAGATATGTCCCTAATCTTCATGGTCTTTCAGCCAAACTTCCAAAGCTGTTCGGAGGCTCTTGGCATCTATACAGGTTCAGTCTACTGAAAGAGGTGGTCCTCAAGTTAATTGAAAGGTCGAAACTGCTATTAGGACGCTGTGGGTAGCACCAAAATTGTCAGAGACGAATGATGCTGTGGGGCTTCTTAAGGAGAGCAAATGCAGCTGGAAAGGTATCAAAGGCAAGTGTAGAAGGGGAGGAAAACATACATGGATGTTGCTGGAACAGCTTACTACGACCAGAAGGCTCTGAAGCTGAAAGGTGAGAAAACTTGTTTCCTTCCAGCACTAGGCATCTATTAGCAAAAGGATGATGTGAAAGCTGAAGGAACAGATTTACTATTATTGATGTTACAAAGAATAAGGGTAAGATGACCCTAACTGTTCTATGATCCTCTGACTTCATTCTACTGCTCTCAACTATTGCACATGTATTCTAATACATCTCCAGTCAACAGGACAGGCAGGGAACTCAGCAGCCCAGATGAAACCCATTCACAGAGTCCACTTGCCCTCAGAGTAGAAGCCCCAAATGCTGAAGGGAGACAGTACAACTTCGGGGGAACTCACCTTTAATGCAGTTCAGAACCCTACATCCCTCTCCCTACACTTCTTGCTTTGCTCATCTCCCTGAGAACATCAGAATAAGCAGCGGGTAAAACTCGTTATGTTTATAGCCCCCACAAAAGCAGCAAGTTAGATGCAGGCACACTGCAGGACTGACTCAAGTGGTGCAAACATGGTACTCCCTAATGCAATGCAGTGAAAGGTTGTTAGAATGCAGAGTTAATAAATATAATAAAAGGCTCCTGGATAGCATGAGAAAAGCTAAGCCTTTGATTTCTGTTTTTAAACTGTTTTCTGTCTATTCCCATAAGAATCCCATCTGCAAACTAACCTAGAATATGGCTACTCTGACAGAAAGCCCAGAGGACTTCCAGGATTGAAGCAGAAGGCAAACAAGGTCTGTGAGCAGCTAAATAAATATACTTGGGGACAGCCACTTCTTTGTCATAAAGCCAAACAACTCTTCTGTTGAACAGCAAAAGGTCCTCCATCACAACAACTAGAGAAACCTCAGTCAAGACACATGGTCTCCTTAAACCAGTACATCATGGACGTACATGAAGTTCCCTTGGATGGAGCGGATGGTAAACACCAGCCCCAAAATTAAGCAAAGCTACACACTTGTTCAATGCAACACAAGGGGAGTTGATAAAAAGCCTGTGTCCTGATCTGAAGCCAAAGATGGCTCTCGTGAAACTCCCCCAGATACAGAGAAGAGCCTTGAAAGGGAGGTGACAGAGCTCGCGATCCATCTTCATCTAATAGGATCAAACAAGCATCGTGCTAAACCCTGGGGAATGTTCTTCGAAAGGACAGCTGCTCCCAAGGCTTTGATGTTCTCCCTCCTTGCATCTGTGAAGATGTCAGGCTCAGGGGGGTCAGAATCTGGGACAGGTTGTGACTTTTGGCAAACAGTTCAAACAGACGAGGAGCCAGTAAGTAACAAGCACAGCCAATACCAAAAGATTGCTCAAGAGGTCTCTGCCCCCCTGCTTTGAAACTACTGCAGGAACGATGTAAGCAAACATGTCCCCTGTATGTGAACCTTCTGAAGGAACTGTTGGTGGGGCAACGCTTCTCTTCAGATCAAAGTCCACTGCTTCCTTGGCCTAAACTAATATCTGAACTTCAACAGCCCCTTTTCCCAGAGCTTTAGCAGAAGTGAGCTAAGCTTTCTGGCACTCTCGGGAGATAAGTGGTTACCATCTGTAAAACTAGCTCGAATCTGTTTTTACAATGTTAAGTAACTTGCCCAAGATCACAGAGCGCTTCAGGCAGTGCCAGAACAGACACTATTGCTCTTGATCATCTCCTTTCTGGTCTGGCTGGTAGATAGCAGGGCTTTCTCCTAACACGGGTGAAACACCAACAGTCAGCACAATCGACTATACACTGCTGTGACTCCCTCATACACCTTCCCCAGAAGTGGAGCAGAAAAATATCTGACTCATTAAAGAGGAAAAACACACCTGGGTGTGTCAGGAAGAGCAATGAGCCTACTGATAAAGGTTTGCATTTGGTAGGCTGGAAACGTGTGTGCGAATAAATCACACAGATGAGTGCACCCACAGAAGGAACAGAAATCCCTGGCTTTACAGTATGATCAGGTTCATGATGCTGCCCAGCACCCCTCCTGAGTGCCTTCAGTCTTCTCCAGAAATCAGGCCCTTTGGCAAGAAGAGCAATAAGAAGCAAATGATGAAATAGCGATTGTCATGTGTGTGGCTATGCTTCGCTTCGTACATTTTTATTCCACAGTACAAGATTAGGTCATTTATATGCTGGCTTAACTGTGATTGAGAGTCAAATAAGCCACCCCTTAATTCTTCCTCCATTGCATTTTACCCCATTTCTCTTTCTACTCCTTAGTTCCTCTAAATTTAGCTTGGAAACAATTCACTGCTCGGAGCTGTTTTGGGAAGTGCCAACATATTGCTGGAACAATACAGAAATTAAACCAACATTTCAGTCAATGCAGAGATGGGCCCAGTGGCTGCTTTTGTTGTGATAAAACAAAACCCCCATCTTCACATAAAACCCCACTTTAAAGAACTATCTGAAATGAGACCACAACTCCTCAAGTAAAGAATTCCTTACTGGGCCACTGAAGCTTGCTTTGGGGAAGACACAAGAACAAGAAATGGAGATATGGAGTTCTCCTCTTTGTAGTTATGCTCAAAGAAATGAGATGCATCAGTACGATAACACTGCCTCCTCTACACGATAACAATGTAAAACAATGAGCAGGAGAAAAGATGGAGTTGTAAGTCATTAGACAAGTTAATGTATGGCTTTAGACCTGTCCGTGTAATTGGTACCTATAGCTTTGATGTGGTGTGTGGTTAAAAGGGCAGCAACAAAACTTTTCAGAGCTTTTCTCATTAAACAAGGCACACACGAAGACAAAACACCCCTTTACAAACACAGAGCTTTAATAAAAGATGAGTTCATTTCCTACTCCTCTAAAAGTGGAAATCCTGCCCAAACCTCCTATTTTCAGAATTCACATTTGAGCTATCAAACAATGGGCCCCCAGCCTGGGCAGCTATTTAAAACTCTGCTGGAAGCACATGTTTGGGTTTGCCTAGTAGATGACTAAGGACTCCAATGCTAATTGCATCCTCTGTGTTACCATGGTGGAGCTGGGTTGAAAGAGGTCTTATAAAGAGATTAAAGCAGGACAAGAAAGCCAGCCAACAGACATGGTGAATCGCATGGAGGATCTTGGATTTCCAACCAAGAGATGTTGCCATCTACTGGCTTGTGGACAGGGAAGCCAAGGGATCTCCTGCGGCCATCTGAAAAGTGCTTCTTTTCTGCCTCAGAAATCCTTAATTCTTGTGCTGAAAATCAGAACCTGTATTTGACATGTGCTTGTGTGATTTGCACATTTATAGCATCCATTCCTGCAACACAGCAAACACTATGAAATATACAGGCACAGCACCAGCAGTAGACAGGAGCCTCTGTTTTTCCTTTTAAACCCTTGGTTATTAAGTTTGGGAGTTTAGGAATATTTTAATGTGGCCCTTTAAACAGCAGATGGCCTAAAAACCCATAGAAGTATAAGACCCCACACATAACATCTTAATTTCAATACAGATTCAATCACTTTTTCCTGTGACTGATGTCATCTAGTACTGGCATCATTTCCTTTTTATACACTGCCTAGAGTAATTAAGTACACCAAAGAGGATGGACTGCAAAAAG